AGTCAGTTACACTCGTCAATACTTTAAGCCTGCTCCTGGAACGCCCTTCGCCCACCCAACCGCACATTGTTTTGGCAGGTATGTTCTCACGCCTAAGCCCCTTCAGAAACCTCAATTAAAATGCTTGTTATTAAACAAATATCAATTTGTTTCACTTCCAATCAAGTTAAGATGGCAAATTTGTTGATGACCCAAGAGGCGTATACGCAATGTTGTTTTACATGGACAGGTGAGAAAATTAAAATATTTGCAATTTATTACGAAATCTATGTTGCGAAAGAATGGGAAAAGTCAATAAGAGATGGTAAATTCTAAACTTCAAAAAGCAAAGAATGTACATCGAATGTTTGGTAAAAATAATATACTTTGGGAAAATAACTTATTTTAAAGGGAAGTTATTTAGTTGATATTATTTCTATATGAATAATTTGTTCTCTTAAGTATCTTGCAACTTTAATCGGTTTGTATTTCCCTATCTTCTCATTCTATTCATCTTTAAAATCTGTATGACTTTTTATCATCTCAATACTGCTAAAAATCATATAAAAATATTAAATCTGTTGATTTCTATTTTAAAGAAACATAAATTTAACAACAAATAACTAAAATACCAAGCGGATAGATATATTTCAAAAGGAAGTCGGCTTTTGAGCAAGATTTCCCTTTCAGACAGTTTTCCCCATTTAGTTATGCAGCATACAGCATTGAAATTGTATGAATCACTGACATAAAATTTAGTTGGTATCTGCCATCTAATTCAACAATCAACAAAGCAACGGGATACCCACAAATACCGAGTCATCTACACACACAGATGAATTCTGGGATTCCCCCTGCCATGACAGGCAAATACATTTTGTATACACAGCCATTGAGGCGTGCTTCTGTGTGAGTGCGTGTGTGTGTAACGGCAATCATTATTGAGGCAATGATGTGCATTTCATGAATTATACACGGCAAGATGATGCGTTGCGATGTCGAACATCTGTGCATGTGTATGAGTTTGTCCATTTCCTGCTCAAGGACTCGTCCTGTGCCATCCTGAACCATCTCCTCTCCCTTCCTTCCTTCTCGATGCGAACATGGTTGGTTGGGCAATGCGCCGAGGTAAGTAATAAACTTATTGGCCCCATGCCTGTCCGTTGATTGTCCGTTTGTAATACACAATATGCCAGGATATGCCACATGGAGCGGTGAATATCAGGGATGGCCAAACATATTGGCCGCCCATTAACGGAATAATCTAGTTAAAAGGCTTCTGGTTTTCGAAGAAGAAATTAAATTATAAAGGTTAATTTGTTGGAAAAATATTAATTAATTAGTATTTATTTATTTTTATATTTTTCTTAAACTAAAGAATTATTTTTATTAAAATTATATTAATCTAAACTAAGAAAAGTTTTAAGAAATTATTATTAATAGAATTTCAAAAAAGTAAAAATAGGATTCTTAGAAAATCATAATAAGATTTTATTCTTTACAGATTAACAGACTTTTAACAACAATAATTTCAATTTGGAGGTGATAAAACTAACAATAATTAAATTATCTTTACGAAAATCTCATCATTTAGAGTTTTCCGTTCTTTATCCAATTCAAACTGATCCTAAAGTTTGGCTTTTCAAACCCACTTTTTGACTTAAAATAAATCCATTAGCTGAAAACCAGTTTCCCCAACCCATTAAAACTTTACCGCACTTTGCCATCTCTAGCATTCAGATGGGCGTAAGGGAATTAAGGGAAGTGGGAGGAATACGAGCCATTTTGAGCCGCCCACTCAAATGTGGCCATATCATGACGAGCTGGCAATGCCAGCGGACGTTTCATCGTTAAATGTGGAACTGTTAAACAGATAATGACCAACCACACCACACCGGCGAACGGCCCACAAAGGCCAACCCAACTGAAACCCGATGAACACCACCCACTGAACTCACCGCAGGACATCAAGGACTTTCGAGGGGCAGGACTCAGGTGGTGGGTGTGTGGACGTGAACTGACCAAGAGGCCTTTGTTATGCTCCCCGGCTTTCATAACTGTATCAATGGCGGTGGCGATGACGATGATGCTCCAACTGCTGCCGCTGCCAACGATGATAAACCAATGCCGATGATGATGATGATGATTCCGCTGCTGGTGTTGTTATTATTCTCCATTTGTTGTTGTCCTGCGGAAACCAGACAACTGTCGTGCTGAAATTCTGATGCATTGAAATATAATTATTGGGAAATGTGCGATTGTCGTTGGGTTTCCGTTTACGTGCTCGCCATTTCGGTTTGGGGCTGCCCGATTATGCATGCAAGCGGATTCTGGAGTATGGGAACAAGTGTAGGACATGATTGTTTGTCCTTGTACATGCGAGTACAGCGGGGGTCGCAAAAACGGGAATAGAAACTTAGTTCCTTCGAATCGGGGTTTTCATGTAACAGTATTCAACTATTTCCGATAATTCTGGTCATTTCAGATATAATATTGTTTAAATTTCAACAGACAACTTGTAAAAATAAAAATAAAAAAGCAATAAAAAAATTATCAAGCTTTAAAAAAAAATTTAAAATGTAAAGTTGACCTTTTTATAATTAAATTGTAAGTCAAATAAATATTTAAAAATTATAAATGGTTTAAAAATTTTAAATTTTTGTTTTACATTTTCTTATTCTTTATTTGTTTACATAAGTTCCGTTTACCACAAGTAACTCTTGATAGAAACAGTATAACTCATAAATATAATATAATTAATTAATTATAAGAATGTAATTTATCTAATGACAATATTTTGACCTTCACTGTTTCGGTTACATATGTATCTGTATCGATTTGGGGCAAAGGAATTGATGCTCACACCCTCTCAACAGTGCCCCCTCAATATGCCCAACCCACAATCATAATTTATGCAAGCCGAATGACATAACAGTTGCCAGATTATTGCCGTGCATTATACACATGTACGCATATGTATAGTAGCGTATATCCGTACATGCACATTCAATTACCATATTAACCGAAACGACTAATTAACTAAAGTTGTATTTACCATCCAATTCGGAATTGGATCCCTACAACCATGCAGACAGACACTGCATGTCAAATGCAAGACATTTGACGAACTGAAAATGCGATTTTGCGGTTTGTCAGCGAAATGCATTTACAATCAGCATATAAATTACAGTCGACTTTAACTTTCAAGCTTCTTAACTTTTATATGTACATTTGAACTATCTCTTTCACCACAGCGGCTTTTTGGCGGGCAACTCAATAAGTGTTTAACAGCGCAATATTTATGGTTTGAGTCTCCGATAAAAGTCACCATACTTTTCGACGTTCCCTGACCTAAAAATTTGTTAAATTTCTTAAATTTGTCTACTATTACTATTACTATAATTACAATACACTATTCAGTTACCTAACTTTAACTCTTTTTGGAAAAACAGTTTTAAAAAATTAATTAACAGGACCTTCTTAATATATGTTACTCTTATATAAATATTGTTATATTAGTAGAAACCATTCACTAACTATAGTGAATATATATATATAAAAATATAATTCAACTATATTAGAACTATAAAAATAGAATAACCGTCACACTCAAATAATTACCGCGCACCCATAGTTGTATTCGACTTTTTACCTCAAAATGTCGGAACAGAGCGCAAATTTGAGAAAGGTGCTGCAAAGTGTAAAAACGGAAAACCGCCAGAATTTGAAAACAAGATGTGGTAACGACAAAAATAAATAAATAAGTAATACAAATAAAATAAGAAAACCAAAAGAAAAAGTTTAGTAGCATTTGATTTGAATATTAATTTAGTTATTTTAGGCCTGGCACTTGAATTAATTTGTATACATTTAATACCTTTAAATAAGGAACTGTTTTTAAAAAACCAAAAAAGGCAAATTTTTTTAAACTACAAGTAATGGCAAAAATATGTTTTGATAAATGTTTATTATTTTTATCTTAAAAATTCTTTCCAAGCACGCAGATTTTCATGCCCATTTAACCAAAGTCAACAAATCTCATATGCCAAAAATAAATCCAAGAAATCTTAAAAGCCATTGGGTATTGGTCCCAACAGAATCCCAACTCATAAAGATGCTCTTCAAATTGTTTGTATACAACCTATAGATATGTATATGCTACCAATCTCTTGGCAACCGGTTTTCACATTCTCATTTCTTCATGATAAGGCATACAAAACTTGATTGTTCTTCAATTGTGAAAGTCTTCAGGGGTTTGCCTGCTCCCGCTTGATGACTAATTAAAATCAGGGAAAACGTAAATATTCCCTGTGACATTTTCCTGCTAGCTCATTTGGGCATTTTCCGAGAACTCGCGTTTTTCAAAACAGTAGCAAAAAATGAGCAGCAAATATAGTCTATTTGTTAGTATTCTAGGTTATCGAGCTGAGTGCAATGACGTAGGACATTAAATGCTAACCCAATGCATTTTAATGCGAACGAGGAACTTGGCGTGCTAGACTGCGGAAATAATGCACTAAACAAAAGAGAGGCATATATGAAGTTGGAAAGAGAGAAAGTCGAATGAGAGAAAGAGAGGAACATGCTTCAAACAATTTTTTAAACACTCAAAGAAAAAAAGTGATTTTATATTTACATTTTTGGTTTAAAAATCAGTAAATGAAAAAAAAGGGGCAGTATAATAAATTTAACGACAGGACCAAATGATTAATATTTTAGAAATCAACTTAGTTTTATAAAACTGCAATAGTGTTGAATATTTATTTCGGTCATTCATTTCTTTACGAAGTGTAATGATTTTTTAAAATATAAACATTTTAAAAACAAATCTTTTTCAATCAATTTTCTCTGAGAGAAAATGTTTTGCCCAGAAATGATTTTTATTACATCAACACAAACTTGTTGTAACTCTGTAGACTGAGAGCGTGAAATCCCCAATAGCTGATTGTTTGGGGAAACGTAACGCTGGCGACCAACCAGCCAAACAAGTGGACCCGAGAGAATATTCGCAATTTTATTTGTATCTCCGGTCAGTTGCCCGAGAAATAGCGTGCTGAACGGTCGCAAATCGCGCACGAGTATTAAAAGAAACCGAATAAAAAATAAGACAAACACCAGAGTGATTTCCCCGAAAAGATCTAGATAAAAAGATACTACATAACGTATACAAACAAACAAGGGAATTCTTTAAGCATCTTAACGCCAACGATTGCATTGGAATTCTTCATTTATAATTGCCCAAAGACGTTTAATTGTATTTAATTAATTGTAAAATGACTGACCAAGAGCATATTACACTGCACATGGATAAGCTGCCGCTGGATAATGATGATAACACTTTGACGAGAAATAATGTGAGTTTTAGTATTTTGCTCATTAAACTGGGGGGAGGTTAAACAAATTCCTATAAACCGGTGCTTTGTTTACATTGCGGATAGATCGTTAAAATGCCTATTTACTCGTATGAAAAAGTAAAGTTTCGCATTGCTTGTTAATTTTTGTGTAAACGGGGAGAAGCTTCCCAAGAAGCATCAAAAAATATTCGGGAAAGTGACAGCTGAAGCGGAAAAAACCCATGACTTAGTCATAGAAATAGACCCCTCGAAGCTTTATAAAATATGTTTGATATGTATGTACTTGTATTCGAAAGTTCAAGTGTTTTCAAAACTCACATTTTAAAGTTAAATAACTAAAAGAAATGAGTAACAGAAATGTTCTTCGTTACTAATTTTATAAATATCTAAGAATGTTTGCTCTATAAATCATCTGGTTGATACATTTAATTTTCATGTAAAGAAATAGAGAAACTTCCCTGATGACATTAACATAATTTTCGGGAAAAATCCCACGAATAACTGACGGGGGAGTCTATTTCAGTGACTAATATAATTGGGACTTGTAGTTTTTTTCTAGCAATATGTGTATTAATAAAAGTGTTTGACCGTTGCACTGATATTTATTTTAAAACAATTTTTAATATCGGAAACATTCTACAATTTCAACATTTTTGCTCAACGCATTTTGAACATTTTATTTTATAGAACTGAATTATTAACCCCAAGAGCCGGAAATTGCACTATAAGCTTTAGTTGATAAGCATGGTTTACCATACATTTTTGTCATTGAAGCTTATCTTTTTAATATTCGAAGCCACTGAAAGTTTACCACATTTATATTATTTTCTAACATACATATATGTGTATGTAGTTGCATTAATCCTCATTAACATATTTATCAGCACTGTCAGAACAGAAGCTGTGCTGTTTTCAAAAACTGCATTTGCATTTTTGAACAATGGGTTTGGAAACAAAGTTGTTAATATTCCGGAAACGCTTTTATTGAAATTTTACAGGAAAATATCAACAATCACAGAAACGGCGATGCAATGGAGGGACGTAATAATCTTCGAGCGCCCAGATCAGGTTCGTATCCCAACTTACTCGTTTATCGCTGAAAAACTAGAACCATTTTTTGTGTGCTTGTCTATATGTTAATCGATCTTGTGACTAATGCTGCTTTCAACCGCAATCTTTAAAACTTTTGTGTAAACCACTTTATTGTGTAAGTAACATAAGCGAGTGAAGACCAATTTAAATTGAATGTTCGTTTCTGCTTTTGACAGTTCCCGAAACGGATGATGATGACAACGACGATCGTCCCTTTGTTAAAGATGGCAATGATAATCCCGGCGTGGATGACGGTCTTCTGGAAGGTGGAGAAGGACGAAGGGGCGGCGGAGGAGGAGGAGGAGGCGGAGGCGGTGTCACTGTACTCGTACCCAATGGAGGAAGACGACCCAGTTTCTCCTTTCCGGGATATACCGGCAACGGTTTCGTGACAATAAACGGAGTCGAGACACCAATACCCGATGTGAATGCATATCAGCACAAGAAAACCCTGGCCCAGGGAATGATGGATCTGGCTTTACTCTCAGCGAATGCGAATCAGTTGCGATATGTTCTGGAGACAAGTTCCCAACATCCATATTTTTATCCCAGCCTGCTGTTCATCTCACTTAGCATTATATTCCAGGTGAGCAACTCATTTGTATTTACAGTGGATATTCAATGAAACGAATCACGAAAAGTTTTCTGAATTTTAAATTTCAGTCTCATCTTTGATAATTTAAAAACAAGAGAGAACGCTATAGTCGGGTTGGTGTCCCGACTATCTAATACCCGTCACTCAGCTAATGGGAGTGCGAACGCTGTGTCGGGTTGGTGTCCCGACTAATAATCGTAACTCGTAAGGGAGTGCGAAAGAGATAGATATATGTTGACAATTTATAAAGCGTATAACTTTTTAATGAATGGTCCGATTTGAAAAATGTCTTCTACATTTCGATAGGTATAAATATACACAAAAAATTGCATTTATACTTCTCGGAAATCTTTAAAGATGGGGGCGCGGATCCATTTTAAAATCGTTAGTGGGCGATTGTGGGCGTTGAGGGGCGTGGCGCTCGGCTAAAATAAACTTGCGCTGCGTAGGAAGCCAAAGAATATGTGTGGGAAATCTCAACCTTCTAGCTTTTGTAGTTTCTGAGATCTCAGCGTTCATACAGACGGACAGACGGACAGACGGACAGACGGACAGACGGACAGACGGACATGGCTAGATCGACTCGGCTGTGACCCTGATCAGATATATATACTTTATGGGGTCGGAAACGCTCCTTCTAGTGTTACACTTTTGCCGATCTAGTATACCCTTTTCTCTCAGTAAGGTATAATAAGAAATCTTTTACTTACATTGAGATATTAATACTTGAAAATTAAAAAACATTCTTTAAGCCACAACTATTAATAATACTATTCTTATTAAATAAAAAATTAGTAACAACATTTTTAAAAGGAAATAATTATTCTCAAAATTTAATCACAATACAACAACTACAATACGTTTAGTATACTGTGATATAATTCTCGCTAACCAAAATTCACTGTAATGTTTACTTATTCATATTTTTGATGACATTTAAAATTTCTTTTCCATTTCAGATTGCTGTGGGCGTGGGCCTTATATTGAATGGCCAGTACAACATTAAGAACGGGCACGATATTTGCCGGGCGAACAGAATCAACAATTATACAGTCATCGGCATTTTTATTGTAACAGTGGTCAATGTTCTGATATCGGCATTTACCGTTGCGGATCCAATCACGGGATCTGCAGCAACACCCGCCAATACCACATAGATTACCACTCTTATATTAAATTTAAAAAATAATGTAGTATTATGAGCATAATCTCATCGTTAGGAAATACTCACACAGCCACACCGTTCAGTCCTTGTTGAAATTCACTAAGCGCCTCATTTTTCTACACATAAAAATGAATTGTGATAAACAAATAAAATCCCACAAGCATTTTACATGTAAAATCGAAATTAATAAAATGTTTTTATTCTTTAATTTGGGTATTTACAAAAAATGTTAAAAATATTCTCTAGCTTTGAATCACAAACTTTATGGGTAAATTTACTGGATAATTAAGAAAAGGGAAATATAATAATTCTCTTACTTCTAGAATAGAAATATTTTTTAAGCTAATTCTTGAAAGCATTTTGAATGCTCAACATTTTCCGCCAAACTATCGATAGTTTGCGATAGTAAGCAAACAAAATTTTAATAACACTGGGTTATATTTTCGAATTATACAGCACTAGAAAAAACAGCTGTTACAAAAAAATCGTGCGGAAAATTAAGCATTTTTGGCTAAAAATCAACTTTAAACATGGCCAAGATTATCAAGGCGGTAAGTTTAAGCAGGATACAAGTAATCCCTATTCTGCAAACTATTGCAAGAAGGAATATAGCCCGAAAATACTGACGTTCCTCTGATTGTTATTGTTATGTCATCGCTTCCTTCTGCAGTCCACAGGTTTAACCGGACTCGCCGTGTCCACCAATCCTCACCATGCCCTGAGTGCTCTCTACGGAAAGATCCTGCGGGCGGTGTCCAAAATGCCACAGGATGCCAGCTACCGGAAATACACGGAGCAGTTGGTCAAACAACGCGCCGATGCGGTGGCCCAAGTAAGATATCTTTAAATTGGGGAACTACCATTGATTTTTTAAAAACTTTGCTATTGTTGTTGTGGTAAAAGAAGGATAACTATCAAGTCTATTGATTTCCCAATTTTATACTATGATAAAAAAATATTTCCAAAGCTTCCAAGACATATGTTTTATAATAAGATGCACATATTTGGTCCTTCAATTCGTATTGGTTGGCACTTTATCCTTGCTAAATATTACATTGAAATTTCTATTCTTTCCTTTAAATAGACTTATTTATTACGAAAACATTTCTAAAAGGCTGTATTATCATTTATTTTAACAAAATTAACCTTACATACAAAATTCCTTATGGGCCAAAATATAGTTATTTAGGGTGTTCAATTGCGTTGCAAACTTTGTAAAGTGTAAAAGTGTAAATCAATTCCAACAACAATTTCTATACAAAATAGTTTTCAAAAGTAGGCCCTTTATAGAATATTTATAATATGTTACTAAAATTCTTTATAGCTGTAGCAAGAAAATAAGTGTTAAAAAAGAAAAGCTTTATATTGTGGTTTTCCTTTAAATAAATATCTTCAAAAATTTCAATTTTAATATTTAATAATATTCCAGAACAAAGACATCGTTGCCCTGGAGAAGGCCGTTGGCTGCGGTCAGGTTGAGGAGCTGATTGTTCAGGCCGAAAACGAATTGGTACTGGCCCGCAAGATGCTCGGCTGGAAGCCCTGGGAAAAGCTGGTCCAAGCCGCACCTGCCAAGCAGTGGGACTGGCCACCAGCCCAGATCCTGGAGCCCAAGGTTTAGACCGCCTTATGATTCACATTAGTACTAATTATTCTACAGCAAATGAAAATGAGAAGAGAGCAATAAATCCGTTGATAAGCCAGCCGCCTTATCAACAAAATTGTTGAGCTTTAAGTTGTGATCTATGGGAGTGTTCCGGTTATTGATTTCATAGAGTTTTGCATTACTTAAACTTTCGACTTTTAAAGCTCAAAAAGTGAAGTATTCTTTAATTAACTTTTTCTACATAAAAAAGGTTTTTTTTTTTAGAAGCTAAAAAAATGTTATAAAAGAAATGGAAAATCTATGGATTTATTTAGATTTACATCATAAAGTGATGATTCCACAAATTGTAAATCTGCAACAAATCACTGAAATCTGGAACCACAACTAACGCTCAGCTCTCAGTTAGAATTTCAGCGAGATCATCAAACCATCGACGATCTCAGTTTGTTTTCAACATGCGTGCGCTTCAGTACCTCCTCCTGCTGCTCGTCATTTCCATTGGATTTGCTGCCGCGCTTCCTCGCCAGCGTCGTCAAATCGATCTCACGGTCTCCGCGGAGCACGACGATAAGGATGATGAGACGGAACTGGCCCTAGAGGCCATCGCCGGACTCTGGAGCAGCGCGGACAGCCGGACGAAGATCGATGGATCCGCCAGCCTGGTGCATCGCACCCAGGGAATGCAATCGGGTACGGGCAGCACCAAATACCAGGCACGCTTCCATCTCCACCATGACTATAAGACCAATGCGTATCCCTCGTAATCCAAGGTTCGGAGCAGGACTTTCGCCTGGGAGTGCGTGTTACATTCGACATATAGGTCCCGGGAGCTCCAGACAGACATCGGCAGACGGCATGGAAATCGAGCGATTGCGTGAGGAAACCGACACTGTATAAACAAACCCACTGCCGATAACATTTTGACCTTCTCAGCTTCGTTTTGTAGAAAATACATAGAACCTTCGTGAAAATACAATATACCCGCATCTGTTTGCTTTATTGATTCCGTTTTAATCGCCTTCCCCGGTCTTCTCGACCGTGAAGCGGCGCAACAACTTTCAGCTTAAAATTACAACTACAACAACGAATTTGCACAACAGTGAGGTGGAGAGAGGAGGAGAATAATAAATACAAGCCATTCCTTAAGTATAAATGCCATTAGTCAACGTGGTTTTTTAGGGTGGGCGGCTCATGGATCTGGGGCACGGAAAGTAATCTATGGCGCACTTTCATTGGAAACTATAGGTCAAGTTTGCTTCTGTAATTGGGATAGTTTTGGCGGTCTTTTATAGAAATGTTAATGAAAATATTTTTTACTCTTTTAAAAACTTATAAAACAAAATTATTTATAAATAGCTATCTCTATATTAAGCAGCTTTGGCATGGAAAACATAAATAGTCAGTTTCTAAATTATATAAATTAAAAAATACATATCTCCTAAGATAATATCCATCTTTTTTCACAAAAAGTAATTGATTAAAAATAAATGAACACAATTAATTAATTGACTTTAAACAATATATGAAAAATACCTGGTTTTCCTATTAGTCAGAGTGTTTAAATGGTATACAAGACCTATGAATACAATAGTTTCAATGAAAATAACATAGATTACTATCTCTTTACCCAAGAACCTTTAAAAAAAACATATGTAGCCCCACCCTACTGAGGTTAATATCATTGCACCTTCGCTGGAAGATTCTTCTAGCCCTACTTCAGGTTAATAGACACTCCCTGGCTCTCCTGCTCCTGGAGTTCCTGGACCGACAAAGTTGCGGAACTCCTCGTAGGCCACATCGATGTCCACGTTGTTGATGATCTTATGGAAATTACCAGGTGTTAATCCGTAATCCAGTTCCACCTGGGCGGCATTCAGCCGTTTGCTGAGCGACTCCTCCGTTTCAGAGCCACGCAGACGCAGTCGTCGTTCCAGTTCCTTGATACTCGGGGGATTATTAAAGATGAGTATGGGGTTCAGATCCGTTCGGCGTATCTGCTCCACTCCCTTTTGCTCGATGTCCAGGATGCAGACGCGTCCTTGGGCCTGGATTTCCCGCACCGCCGCCTTGCTGGTTCCATAGAGATTGCCCGTAAACTCGGCCGTTTCGATGAACTCGTCCCCTGCGATGGCCGCCTCCATTTCCGGGCGTTCCACGAAATAGTAGTGGACCCCGTGCTGCTCACCTTCGCGCGGCTTCCGCGTGGTGTGCGATATGCTGAAGCCAAAGGTGTTGGGGAACTCGGCAAAGAGCCTTTTGAGGAGCGTACTCTTCCCGGAGCCCGAGGGGCCGCAGAGGACGAGGGGGCGTGGTCCCGGGGCGGTCATCTTCTTGCCTGTCAAATTCACCGCCGTGCTGCTGCTGAGAGCGCGATTTACAATGAACAGAAAGCTTATCATCGCGTGGCCTTTTATTCGTATATAAGCACAAGCACCAACAACACTAATGGGGCCCCAAAAAAGCTGGTTTCGTTCTTTTTTTATTTGGTTTGGCTAAATTAAGAGAAGGCGTGCTGGTTTGTGTCTGTGTGTGTAAGCGGGCCAGCGATGGTTCAATTTCGATTAATATCGATATGTTATTTAAAGCGATACTTTGTGGAGAATCTTTATGGTCACCCTTATTTTTCAAAGAGTTTTGAAATTGATTTTAAAAATTTTTTTAATTGTTCAGAACAGATTCTAAATTGAAAAAATAGAATAAGAAAAATGCAATATTTATAGTTTTTGCACAACTTAAAAAAGTTAAATTATAAGTTCTGGAAATACGTGTAATAAATAAGCGGAAATTGGTTTATAACTTATTTAAAATAAAATTTTTTTTACGTTTTTGTAGATAACAAATAAAAAACATAAGTGCTGGCTATTCTTCTGCACTTGTATTTGTTTTAAAATACAAATTCAGAAACCATACTTAGACGAACAATTTAAGAAAAATAACAACCCCCAATAAACAACCAATTAAAACCATCCAACTTTGGTTTAAAAACTGTTATATTCTTATACTGTTTTACATTTAGCATAGAATTTCAAACACACATACACACTGAAACTGATGCCGACTGAATTACAATGCATTTTAGTTTTTGTTTTTATTTAGCTTAAAATAATTATGAATTTTTCATCTGCTTGTTTCCTTTTAATTGTTTTCACTTTACTCTCATTTTCTTACGTTTTTCTTTAATTTCATATTTTGATCACATTTTGATTTCGCATGCCCAAAGTGAATTTGGTTTGTGTTCCGAATGATTCGCCTGAATGTAAAACCTACTACTGCCGTCCGATAAATCAAAAATATATATGTTGTTTACCTCGTATGTTTAGGGATTTATGCAAGCCTCTGCTTCTGCTAGATACTACTCTGTGTATATGCTAATATTCAGTCAATATTATATTCATGTCTGCTTATCCTCCCGCGGTTTTGGGAGGAGCTCGCTTTCAATGGAGGATCGAAAACCTGAAGTTCTGTTCTGTTTTAATGGGAAGAGTATATAAATTTCGGTTTACCGAAGATGAATACCTCATCTGTCATATATGTACAAATTATTATACGGTTTTTTAGCATTGAGTTTTCGATGTATTGGAACAAAATCAATCGAACAGTCCTAGGAGACGATCGTGGTATTTATTATATGGTTGCTGGATCCCTTGCGGTCTCAACTAAATAACAGTACTAACTTCGTATCGGAGCTGTAACATGGATAAGGCATGTGGAGGATTTGATATCGGAAATGATTATGATGTGTGAGCAATGAAACGTGGATTATGTATTGTGTGGCTGGCAATGCAAGAATTTGTGTAATTGTTTTCTGTAATTTATTATACCCTAAAAATTTTTTTTACAACTAATACTATGCATATGCTTAAAATTGATTAAAAAATATAATATATATATTTATAGATTTATTCACGATGCTAAAAACTAAACGAATTGTACGACAAAATTGTTGAATAAGACCAAAAGGGGAGCGCGCTGCTTAAAGATAGGGGGTTTTTTACCAATCCTATTTTGGGACTCCCAAAAAGGTTAACAATTACAAAAAGGTTGTGGCGAGGGTGTGGGGATTGTGAATGGTGTGTGTGTGTGTGTGTGTTGTGCCCCTAGAAAAATGGGGCAATCTTCTTACTGGCTAGGATTCAATATTATTCATATTTAATATTCAATTACTAGGAGCGTAAAAGTTTGCAATCATTTATCGGCTGCTGCTATATTCTGGCTTGCAAATTAATTAAAATATGTAATGCAGTGGTAACAAAAAAGGAAACTACTAACAATTATGTTTAGATCGGCTTGGTTTTGCTTCTTCCGTTTTGTATAATTATGTATAATTATTGTTTACAAGTAGCATAATTAATAATTACGTGTATATTTGATGTTGTTTTCTTATAAATTGTTTTTGTTTCTCTTCGTTTTGTTTAAAATATAAAATTACCTAATCAAGAAAACCATAAAAATAGTTGTTACTGCTGCTGCTGCTTCTGCTTCTATTGTTTTACGATGATGTTAATTGTAATTTATTGTTAGTGGCGGCCTTTTAGGCCTTCCAGTTGTTCTGGCGACTGCCGCTGGCCCCGCTCTGCTGCTGGGGCGGAATCATCTCCAGTAGATATTGGCGCTGCAGCTCCGCCGCCCGCTGAACGTCCGCCATGCTGTTGGCGCTGCTCGAGTTCTTCGCCGATCCGGAGGACGAGCTGCTCTTCTTGTTGTTGTTGTTGAAGGCTATAACAAGAAAATGGTAAACAGTTTTAGTTAGTGAAATTTTTTAGGTTGGTTAGAAAGTGTTAAAATATCCATTGACTAATTTACAGGGCGGCGATATATATTTCATTAAATTTTTTTGTTTAATTCATTACTGTTTTGAATGCTATGCATTTTATTACTATTTGATTTTTATTTATAAAATTAATCTTACATGATTTTTTTGTTTAATTCATTATAATGTTTTGAATGTTAATAACAATTTATTCATGCTCAGTAATTTATTGAACAATACTGATAATAAAACGAAACCCTTAATAATTTATTAAACTATTTGAATTTTGCAGATCTTAAAATCTTATAAAATTAATCATTACCATGATATTTTTTGTTTAATTAAATACAAAGTTTGGAATTTGTAGATTATAACATTTAGTTTTCAACCTGTTTATCATAGACAATTTATTCTAATGCTAATTAATTTATTTTGAACAATACTGATAGCTTTGGAAATTTAAAAATGCTTTATTGTGTTTATAATACCTATCGAAATGTAGAAATTTTTTAAAAAGTTACGGCGAATCAAAGTTTTTCTCGATCTCCATCGAACAGCTTTGGCTGCTAACGGGTATCTATGTAGATTACACTGATGTGTTACTAATAAAATTTCCAGTTCATCTCCTTGATAACTAACCTGCCACTTGTGCCGCCTGCGCCATGGCCATCTGGTAGGAGTACAGAAGCGGAGCAAACTGCATCATGTGCTGCGGATTGCCTCCAAGACCTTGTCCCAGTGCTAAAATAAAAATGGTACAAATTAGTTAAATTTATAATTTATAAAGAAGGAGAAAAATGCACCTCTAAAGAGCTGCTGCTGGAAAGCCTGCATGGCGGCTGCCGTGGCAGCTGGTGATGAACCGCTCAGCCCAGCCGCCGGATTAGCGGAGCCAGTGGAGGCTCCTCCAAAATTACCCAATCCTCCGAGGGCAGCCAGATTGCCCAGCTGGCTGAGGTTACCCAGATTGCCAAGGTTGCCCAGGCTGGCCAGGCTATTGATATTCAATCCACCCATGCCGCCGAGGGCACTCAGATGAGCAGCCGCCGCCAGCGTGGCCGCCGAGTACTTGTCATAGCTCTGGGCCTGCTGTTGCGTCTGCTGATCCCGCTGCTGATCCCTGTCGCGCTGATCTCGCTGCTGCTGCTGCTGCGACTGGTGGTGATGATCGAGTCGATCGTTGCGGGAGGATCTGGAGGAGCTGGCCGCCTCGTGGTGATGCGCTGCCGACGGCCCGGGACTAAGGATGCCCGCCTGCTGAGCGGCAATGGCGGCCGCAGCGGCGGTGGCTGCCGCTCGCGAGGATCGCGATCCTCCCGACGACGACGGCGGCGGTGTGGCTTGACTTTGGGGTGGCGGCGGAGTGGGTCGCGGTGTCGCTGGCGTTGGCGTCTGGCATTTGGTGGGTATCACCGTCACCGACGGCGGCAGATTAACTAAAGCAGCGGCCGCCGAAGCGTGCGTTGCCTGCAGCTGCTCCCGTTCCCTTTGCAGATGCGACGACGATGAGGAGTTGCTGGTCACCGCAGAGACGGAGAGCGAGTTACTCGATCCATGGGTGTCCACCGGCGAGGGACTGCTCTGGCTGGCCAGACGCTGCTCGATCTCCTGCTCCTGCTGCAGCGCCTTCACAAAGGCCTGTTTCAGTCGGTTGGTGTGCTCCGCCTTGAGAGCCTTCTTCACATTCGAAGTAACGCACTGTTCGCAAATCACCTTGGGATCTTTGTTGGCTATAAGAATAAGGGATTAGAATTATATTTATATTTATACCCTTGTAGAGGGTATTATAATTTCAGTCAGATGTTTGCAACGCAGTGAAGGAGACGTTTCCGACCACATAAAGTATATATATTCTTGATCAGCACCAATAGCCGAGTCTATCTAGCATGTCCGTCTGTCCGTCTGTCCGTCTGTCCGTTTCTATGCGAACTAGTCTCAGTTTTAAAGCTATCGCGAAGAAATTTTAGGTCTTCTTTCTTTGGGTAGTACATATGTCGGAGCCAGCCGGATCGGACCACTATATCTTAAGGCTCCCAAACAAATATAAGAAAATTCATTGTACTTTGTAGGAAGTAGGCGTTTTGATTCTTGACTACTTAAAAACAAAATTGAAATAAATCAAAACTGAATCTGAACCCTGGAACTGCACCGTGATTATCTTTATTTAAAGGGTATATAATTAGTCTTTTTTTTGTAATCAAAGTTATACTCACTCTGCTTCTCCCACTTCCACACGGGCGTAAAATCAATCTTGCACTGGGCACAACGGAACGGAGCTGCCACAGCATTGGCCTTCTTGTTCACAGTGAGATAATCCACAACTGTTTCCAAGCCAAGAAGATATACAAAGTCGGTGTTGCTGGGATTGGGAATAAAGTGCATCTCTGGCGGTGGTGGCTTTGGTGGGGGAATCTGTCAAAGATAGACGAGAGTATGAAACCAAAATTCCTATATCTCTTAAAGGACTTTTTCACTCACCTGAAGCAGCGTTTTTTCCAGCTGCTTGCGAAGGGCCATTTTAGCTGCCGCCTGTCTTTGAGCAGGTGTCTGAGCATCTTCTCTTGGCGTAGAGCGATCATTCTGTTAGGAAATGCATTTATTAATTATTCAGAAACGATTTAATTTGATAGAAACACCTACCTTCTGGTCGTTGTGCTGATTCTGATGCGATTGGGACAGTGGTAGCGCCGGCGTGATGGAAACAGAATTGCTTATGGTCCCAGGTACCTTCGAATTATCCGAAATATTAGGCTGCATGTTTCAACGATTGGGTTGGGTATTG